TCATTATTATCAAAATCATTATCGTAATTTTGTTTTATTATCATATATATTATTTATATATTTTTATATATATATATTATATATTATATATATTTTTATTATTGTCACTTTCATTTCTATCATTATTATCAAAATCATTATCGTAATTACTTTTATCATTATTGTTATTACTATTGTCATTATCATTATTATTATTGGTGGTATTAATGTTATTATGATTATTGCTATCATTATTATTATTATTATCAATAATAATAGTAAATAATAATAATAGTAACAATAAATACAATAACAATACCAATGATGATAATCATAATATAATTGATAATGATAATGATGATAACGATAATAACAAAAATAATGATAGTATATATAATCATAAAAAACAATAACAACAATAATAAAAATAACAATTACAATAATCAAGAAACTATAAACAGAAATGACGTCACTAACAGCCGAACCAATCGAACGTCCGAGGCGAGGGCAGCCTGGCCCGATAACAGGCAGCCTGGCCTTGGCGTCCGAGGCAAGAGCAGCCTGGCCCTAGCGTCCGAGGCGAGGGCGGCCTGGCCTTGGCGTCCGAGGCGAGGGCAGCCTGGCCTTAGCGTCCGAGGCGAGGGCGAGCCGAAGAGAAGCCCCGAGCGCGCCCGTCCGCCCTGGCCCGACCCGCAGCCGGTCTGCAGTAGCTTTCCCGCCTCGCTACCTGGCCGACTCGCTTCCAGTAGTCATGTAGTTGAGCTGGCAGGCGGACGGCGAGGAGCGAGCGACCCGATATGGATCCTTCAGCAAGACCCGCTCAGCGTGGCTCACGTGACGAGAGGGAGTTGTGAGTTGCGGGAGGGAGGGAGGGAGGGAGGGAAGGGGAAGGGAAGGGAAGGGAGGGAGGGGAAGTGGTGTTTGCATGACCGCATTAACGGCGGCGCTTCGGTCGGCGGTCGCCCCACTGTCTGCATGGAGCTAGGCAGGCAAGGTAGCTGGCTGGATGGCTGGCGAGCGCGGGCGTGCGTGTGCGTGTGTGCGTGCGTGTGCGATACGCGCTCGTAGGAAGCACTCTCGGGGGCTTAGTTTCTGCCCCTTTCTTCTCCCTCTCGCAGTTTCCTCCTGGACGCGGCGGACGGTGTGATGTGTGAGGGAGGAGGAAGGGGAGGGGAAGGCCTTACGAGTCCCCTCACCTGCTCAGTGTGAGGGAATGAGGAGGTGTGAGGAGATTACTTTCTGGTGAGGGTCTGCCGGTCCGAGGACGAGACGGAGGAGGAAACAGAATGCAGGTCTTGAGAGTTGGGAAATGTGGCTTGTAGTGTTCAAACTTGGCGAAGGCGGTAAAGACACAGACAGAAAGATTACACCTGAACAAAACCCGAACAAAAAAGTGAAAAGAAAAGAAAAGGGGGGGAAATAAAGAAAGAAAGAGAAAAAAGAAGAAGAAAGAAAAAAAAATCAAAGACGAAGTAAATCAAAGGGAAATAAATATGATAATGATGATAATAATTAGAGAAAAAAAAAGAGAAAGAGAGAGAGACCAAGACAGTGGTTGTGGTGATGACTTCAACTTTAAGATTTTAATGAGTTACTCCCCGATTTCTCAGAACAAAAGCAACGTCGAGGCTGGAATCGAGACCCTGTTCAATGCTCCTGCACGGACCCCTCGACGGCCGCTGGCGCTCCAGTTCACCGGGCCGCACGTGCATAGCTGGGGCCGTGCACAGGGCGAGGGAGGAGGCGGCCGTACGTGCGCACGCCGTAATTACGTGTCTTCTTTATGGGTTTATGCTGCGTATCTTTTTTTTTTTTTTTTTTTTTTTTTTTCGGGGCGGTTTGGAACGAAATCGGTGTAACTCGTCAGAGCATGTTACTGTTTATTGATTCTTGGCAACTAAGCATAAAGTTTGTCCTCACCCTCTCCCCTCTTGCCTTTCCCTCCTCTCCCCTCTCCCCCTCTCTCTACCCCCCTCCCCCCCCCTCCCCCTCTCCACCTGCAAAAGTGTATAATGTGTCACGTGTCCCTTCTATGTGTCCCGTCCACGAGATCGTTATATATCGCACTCCATTATTGTACCGCTTTCGACACAGTTTTAAGTTTCTTTACTTCTCTTCCTCTTCATCTTCTTTTTTACCATCTTCTTTTTATCCTAATCTGCTTTCATTTACGGTATCTCTTTTTATACGTAAAAAAAAAGTGATTAAGAACCGCCATTTTTTCTGCATCTTCTCGGCATTTGGACAAAACGGAGGAGAGCGAAGTGAAGTTAGCGCACGCGAAACTCTCCTTTCTTGCTTCAGTTTTTTGGCCCGAATTCTCTATTTTTTCTCCCTTGCTCTCTCTTATTTTTTCAATTTTCTCTCGCCATTATCATTCGGCGTCTCTTCACTCTTTGCTTTATCCTCTTTTTTTTTCGTTTTCTTTTTCTTATTCTTTCGTTACGGTATTCTTGTTCGTTTTCTTTTATTGATTGTTATTCATTTCTTATTCTTGGCTTACAAAGACCGCGCTTCGTCACATATTCTTGTGCACTGTGTCTTATTTTCTCGGCGTTTCTTTCTTTGTTTTTGTTTGTTTGTGTGTGTGTGTGCGTGTGTGTGTGTATGTGTGTGTGTGTGTGTGTGTGTGTGTCTGCGTGTGTGTGTGTATGTGCGTGTTAGTTTGTGTGTCTGTGTGTGTATGTGTGTGTGTGTGTGTCTGTTTGTTTGTTTGTATGTCTGTCTCTGTCTCCCTTCCTTACTCTCGTTCTATCCTCCGTTTGTCTGTCTGTCTGTCTCTCATTATCTCTCATTCTCTCTCTCTCTATTTTCTCATTTTTCACGTCCGTTTGTCTATCTGTCAATCTGTCTTTCTGTCTGCCAGTCGGTCTTTCTGTCTCCCATATCCCTCCTAACCCCTCCCCTCTCCCCTATATCCCTCCTACTCCCCCATATCCCCCTACCCCCATATCCCTCCTACTCCCCCCTCTCCCTAACCTCCCCTCTCCCCCTATCCCTCCTACCCCCTCCCCTCTCCCATATCCCTCCTACTCCCTCCTCCCCTCCCTCTCCCCCATATCCCTTCTACCCCCTCCCTCTCCCCATATCCCTTCTACCCCCTCCCCTCTCTCCCCCTCCTACCCCCTTCTCCTCTCCCATATCCCTCCTACCCCCTCCCCTCTCCCCCATATCCCTTCTACCCCCCTCCCCTCTCCCCCATATCCCTCCTACCCCCTCCCTCTCTCCTATATCCTCCTACCCCCTCCCCTCTCCCCCATATCCCTCCTACTCCCCCCCTCTCCCCCATATTATCCTACTCCCTCCCCTCTCCCCCATATGCCCCACGGCCTCTCCCCCATATCCCTCCCCTCCCCCCCCTCTAAGCAAATGTCAACTCAACGTTCCCACAGCGCGACACCCACGGCAACAATTTTCACTTGACACTGAGATCACGCGATTCTCCCCCTCCCCCCCCCATCCCCAGCCCTCTCTACACCTCTCCTACTCCCCCTTCCCCTTCTCCACCTCTCCTCCTCCCCCCTCCCACCTCTCCTCCTCCCCTTCACTTCTTGCTACCCCCCCCCCCTCCTCTACCCTCCACCCTTACGAGTTCCCCCTCCCTTCCGCTTCTTCCGACCCCCCCTTATCCCCCTCCCCCCTCCTTTGCTCCCCCTCTCTCCCCTCCCTACGACCCTCTCCACCCCCTTCCCCCTGCCTTACCCCCCCTCCCCCCAAAGTTTGCATCAATCTTTCGACTTAAACTTTGGTTCAAGCTCGGCAACATTTTCAAGTTTTTTTTTTTTTAACTCTTTTTTATTTTTATAAGTGATCTCGTTTTCTTTCGTTTGTCTTTGCTCAGGATCTTTGGTGGATTTGCTCTGTTAAATCTGCATATTTCTTTTTTTTTCTTTTTTTTAGGAACCGAAATTCTGATTAAGACGTTTTTTATTTTTATCGGACAATTTTCTTTTTCAGAGTTGATTAATCGACAGAAAAAGAAATAAAACTGATAATAAAGATAAGAAAAAAAGGAAAAAGAAAAACCTGAAGTAAATTTGTGATCCAGAAAGCACACTTTAGCTTTTCTGAAATGAGAGCTGGATAATTAGTGAAAAAAAGAGAAATAGCGTAGAGGATAATTTGTGCGATTCTGCATAATCACTTAACCCTTAGGATTTTGGCCAAAGAAACAGGATACAGGGAGAGAGAGGAAAAAATAACGAAAGAGTGACACAGAAGAGAGGGAAAAAAGATTGAAGGAAAGGTAGAAGAAAAGGGGGAAAAAGATCGAGAGACGTAAAAAAAAAGAAGAAAAGAGATCGTAAGAAGAGGCAAATAAGAAAGAAGGAAAGGGGGACGAAAGAGGTGCATAGAAGCAAGAAGGATAAAGGAAAAGGACGAGAGAGAGAGACACAAGAGGAGGGAAAAATCGAAAGCCCGACACGAGCGCGAGGGCTGACGGGCGAGCGGGCGAGCGAGACAAAGTGTGCGTCCGGGCCGATGTGGCGGGACGTTTTCTCCTATTGATTGAGCTCCGAGCACGTGAGATCCAGGTATTCGGGACGCCTCGAATCCTCCCGGCACGCGAAGTCCCCGACGGCCCCTCCGCGCTCGTCTTCCTCCTCCGGGACGCCCCTGGCCCCTCCCGTCAACCTCCCCCCCCTCCTCGCCCCGCCGCCCTGTCGCAAGTGACGAGGAAATTGCTCCTGGGGGCCGCGGGAGACCTCTGAGGCGGAGTTAAAGACGACCTTCCGGCCTCCGCGGGTATTTTGAGGCCGACGGATTTAGCATCAAAGCGCGCGGGGAGGGAGGCGACGGAGGCTCGTGCGCCGGCCGGCTGGAGCGCGGAGGCGTAAATGAGGGCGGGAGACGGTGCCTCCCGTTCGCGGCTCTGTGGCTGGTGTGAACTCCGGGCTGTAATGGCTGGAATCGGACGGCTGGCGTGATGCCTTTGGTGAGTGTTTAGATTTATCAGCTTCAGTTGTCACTGCTGAGGGACGTTTAAGACAGCAGAGCACCGTCTGAGGCTCCTTCGGGAC